AAACAAAACCATGTTGTTCTGACCCAAGCCTTGTTCAAATCAAACAAACACAAAGTATGTATAAAAACAAATCTTTTAATTCAGCGCTGTGAATTCTGTTCATTCATAGCCAAGAGTCATTCAAAACCAATTGTGCCAGATAAGAGCAATCCCTTTCAAGGTTGCGAAAGGCTGCCAAGAACAAAAGACTAATTGATAAATAGATAAATATAGATGAATAGATAAATATCCCAAGCCAAAAGTTTCCAAAAACAAACCGGAGGACGAGAACTCTGAGCATAAAGAACTTATTTGCTTCCTGCAAAGAAGCCAACCCCAAAGGCTGGCTTTTATCCCTTATGGGAGGGGCCATCGCCTTCCAGCCTTACTCCCAAGTCGCTCATGCTGCTTCAGCTGCTCTTTCCTTCGAGCAGCCCTGTGCTCATGCGCACTGAGCACAGGCTCCCCGGGTCCCTCTGCTGTCAGACTCCACAACTTCTGAAGGCAGCACCCCACTCTCCTATAGTCCTGGCCCCATCCCTGCATCACATGCAGGCCCCTTGTCCGAGTCCTCGCTGTCAGAAACCTCAGCCATCCGCACCTGCTGCTGACGAACCACAACACATGTGAAAGACTTTAAATAGGCTTAGCACACCATCACAATATATAGTAAATATTAAATGTGAAACGTTATTGCTAACCATCTTATTCTTTATCACCAGAAGTGAAAGACTACATCCAATAAATGATCACATTATTATTAATTTATTTATTAAATTTTTATGCCACCCATTTCAATGATAACAGTGATTCTGGTGTGCTACATGTCACTGTATGTTAAATGTTTACAATTCACTGTAAATAGTGAAAACAGTATTAATATTAATCCCTTATCTCCATGTATAACAGTAGATTTTTTAATTCTTAATTTTTGGAAGTAACTTGTAATGTTTTTATTATGTTTACATATGTATGTATATGTATGTGTGTATTAGAAAAAAACTGACACATTTCAAGTGTGCATTGGTTAACTACTTACTTACATGCTTTAGGCACTATCTTGGAAGTAGTAATACAAAATAAGGTAGGATAAGAGCTGCAGTGGCACAGTAGTTAGAATGCAGTATTGTAGGCTATTTCTGCTGATCACTGGCTGCCAGCAGTTTGCAGTTCGGGTCTGACCAGCTCAAGGTTGACTCAGCCTTTCATTCTTCCGAGGTAGGTAAAATGAGGACCCAGATTGTTGGGAGCAATATGCTGACTCTGTAAACCACTTAGAGAGGGCTATAAAAGCACTGTGAAGCAGTATATAAGTCTAAGTGCTATTGCTAGTGCTAGAATGATCCATTGTTAAATAACTAACTCTTGTGGATTTATGTATGTTTTCAACTACTGACTAGTTTGGCAAATTAGTAGTGTATTATATTTTCAAAACTAACCATCTTTCTTTCCTGTATCTAAGTTAACATTTGAAACTGAGATAAGTTGGTTTGATCTTCTAGAGAAGATGTAGTAAAAAGTTATCCCTTGATACAAGTTTTCCTTTTAGAAATGCCTAACTGGGTTTCTAAAATATGACATGTTAAATGATCCTCGTTGTAAAGAAAAGTGCATTTGCAGGTTCCGATGTGACTGCCGCTATGCAGAGCCATTCTTTGCATGAGTATTTTGGGTCAGGCTGTGAATTTTTTTCCCTTTTCCTCTTTCCCACTAAAATCATTGAAATATATTCTGTCAGTCTTTCACATCAAAGGTGTAAATGGATTTCTTGAAAGGGTTTTTTTTTTTTTGAATGGTAAAAGGCAATCACTTCACAACTTCCACTCCATTATGGGCTGCATCACAGAGCTTAACATACCACCCCAACTTGGAGAATGCTCTGCTATTCAATGACCTTGCCTCTGCAAGGGCAGATGTTCAATTTGTGCAAAAAAAATGCTCTGCCACAGCATTTCTGTGTGTTGCATGTTTGACAGCACTTGCCCCAAAGCAGCCAAGTTGAAGTTTATAAACCGGATTTAATTTTTTTTTTCTTGTGCAATGGGATAGAAATAAAATGATCCCTTTATATTTCCTTGTTTATTTAAAACATTACTAGTGTATGGTTATATTGCAGAAGCTACACAGATATCTCTATATTTACTGGGAAATGTATTTCAGTTTACTCATCTGGAAATATAGAGGACGAGTATAATTGGAGAATTTCTAAATCACCCTTATTCCAGAAATCGTGAGTGCTTCATCATGGGAGGTTTTTAAGAAGCAACTAGACAGTCACTTGTTTGAGATGGTATAGGTTCTCCTGCTTGAGCAGAATGCTGGACTAGAAGACCTCCAAGGTCCCTTCCAGCTCTATTCTATTCTATTCTATTCTATTCTATTCTATTCTATTCTAATTTTCGACTGGTATCATCTGACCCCCAACAAAATATGCACATTCATTTAGCCTCTTCTACCTCTCTCTGTCTTTTCATGTGGTCGTGATATTACACCATAAAAATGGGTTCCAAAGAAAAAGTAAAATAGTTTTTACTCAAACAGTGCATATTTTAGAATATATTTATTTACACTTTCAACAAAATCTGTGCAACAAATTATTTTTCCAAAATTTTCATATTTTATCCCGTGCACTTTTTAAATTACAGTTTTAACTTACAGTTAAATTTCATTTCTCTTTAAAAAAAATAAATGTGAAAAAGTGGACACTGTTGTGTAGACCACAAGAACTTGAAGTTGGGCAATTGAAAAGGAAGCCCTATTCATTAGTGGAAGTGTGTTCGCTCAAGTTTGGGTTCCACTCTACTCTTCTGAGAAAAACTGTGCCTTCAAAGGAATCAGTCTTGTTTCTAGTTCATTATAAGATGTTACGATTAGGGAAACTAAAAATAAGAATCAATATGATCTAGAGATTGGAAATGCAGATTGAAATGGAAAGGCATTAAATTCATTATCACTTGATATAATCATACTTTAGAAATTGTAGGGATAAAAGAGGAGGAAGGAAAACTTTTTTCCCATTGCTTCGAGATCCTTGGAGAAAGCAAAAGACAAAAAAAGTAGTATTCAAACAAATAAGGATGCTTACATACAGGAGTTGTGTTGAAAAGCAAGAACATGGGAGTTTAATTATTTCAGACTTATATAGCTGTAATTAATCATTTTAAAAGTATATAAAATTCAATATGGTAAGTACCTAGTGCTGGTCAGATGCTCGCCATTCATTAGCCAGAGCATTAGAAAGTGCATTTCTTCTTGAGAAATTGGGGAAAATATTGTATTTTAAACTATTAATAAATAAGAATTTAAATTCAAAGTAACTGCAGTCTTCCTTCTTGAGGAATTAAACTTTTTATAGATCCTCAACTTAAGACATTTTAGCTTCATTTACAATCAAGAGTCTTGGGGTTGTGTAAAAAAATAGAAGTTTTGTTTGTTTTAAGCGTATAGTTCATCCTGCCTCAAAACCCCGTTGTGTCTGTCTATTTTTTATAAAATTTTATTTCACATTTCTAACAAGAACCCTCTGAATGGAAAAGTATAAAAGTTCTCTTTATGAAAGGATGGACTGAAAATAGCAAACCAAGGTAAATCAGGAAAGAGTTGTCGGAGGTGGAATTCAAACTTAAATCAAAAGCTATGGATCACTTTAGAATAAAATAAAACTTTATTTTTTAAATTATAGTATAAATTATTGCACATTAGCATATTTATATTTAGAAAACTATATTTAATAACTGTTTAGGGAAAGTAGCCTTGAAGGGAAGAGCTGCTTATAGTACTGAATTAATATTCATTGAGTAACAAACTGCTTTTGTTAATTCATTATTAAGTACTGAGTGGGCAAAGAGAGAATTGACATTTGCTGATGTAAAGATGATGTTTGGCATGTTATCTCCCAGTCCTAAAATCTTGAGGCTTAAAATCTTGTCTTATGCCCAGTGATCAGCCTTAAACCTCTTTGCTGTCACTGAAGAAAACAAATCTTTTTCCTTCCTTTGCCTCGGGGATGCGGAGAGCTGAAGTGGTCCTGTGTGACTAAATTAGATGAAAGACTTGCCTTCCCACCATGGAGACACAGAGTCTAATCAAGTGAAATGAGTTCTGAGATACCAGCTCACTTCCTAGGGGATATCAGTTTACATTACAAAATCACACGACACCTAATTCATCACAGTTGATGCAGACTTTACTCAGGAGAGAGCCATAGTTCAGACAATAAGATAGTAAGCCACCTGTCCCTTTTATGGTAGCGCCTGTTTATTAAGTATGGAAGGTTCTACAACTTGCATATTTATGGAGTGCATCTAAGAAGCAAAGAGAAGTCTATGTTAGAAGTTGAAAAATTAATCTTGAAGACATAACTAACTTGCAGTTACTATAGATCATTCACAATTCCTTAATCTGTGTAGGAGTCTGAAATGTCCTTGCTCACAAAGATGTTAAATATAATAATGATGTTAAATATAATATACTATATAAACTTATATAACATCTATATAAAATGTTAAATATAATATACTATATAAACTTGGTAAAAACTGGTATAATAACTTGTCCAAAATTGATCTCTTCAAAAATACTGGAAGTATGGTATCTAACATTACAGGTCATAACTGGTTAAAAATTCTTGGGGTTGTAGTCTCAACATTCCTGCAGGGTTTAACATTGGGGGACCTCTGCTGTATCTCAAATGATCCTGTTCTGTCATAGAATGATCTTATAAAAGTAAATGTCTAGATGTGGGATTTTAAAAAAATACTACCAGTTCTGTGGGTGTGGCTTGGTGGGCGTGGCAGAGGAAGGAGACTGTAAAATCTCCAGTCAGAGGTGGTGTTTGCTGGTTCTCTGAACTATTCAAAATTTCTGCTACCGGTTCTCCAGAACTAGTCAGAACCTGCTGAATACCACCTCTGGTCTAGATACTTTGGAGGAGGTTTCCTGAGGTTTTCTGCATTGACATTTAATGTGGCAAAGAACAACATCTATTTATAACCAAATATGTTTTTTTTTATTTCTTCCAGGGCATTGTTATAACTCCTTTGCTCCTACTGCTTTTTGTAAGTATCTTAATGTTGATTCTAGTTGAGATATTGTATTGCTGTTACTATTACTCTATACTGCTCTATTGTAAATGAGTTGTTGCAGATTATTTTAAATTATGGAAGGATTTTGCATTTTTTCACTTTCTTTCTAAAGATGCATTGTAATTTCACCAAAACATTGCCAATGAACAATATATGTATTTTGTCTTACAGATTTGTTAGTGTAAGATATACTAACAACATGTTTTTAAGGCAGTAAAAATAAAAATGTCTCAAACATTGCTCATGACTACGTCATCTGAGTTAATAGTCTGTATGACTGATTTATAGATAGCACAGGAGCATGCAATTTAGTTTGGGCTAATGGACATCTTATAGTCTAAGGGAATACCATGAGTTTTTTCATAGAATGGTGATTAAGGGAAGGGAGAAGCTTCATAATTCACAAAAGAGCTTCTGTAACAGGCATTGCTACAGTAATTACAGAAGGCAGATTGATGTGGTTGCTTCCTTCTGTACTTTATAGCTTTCCTGTCCATCCCACCCAATTTCAATCACTTTAGCTCAGGGGTGTCAAATTGGTGGCCCATGGGCCAGATGCGTCACTTGTAGGCCACGCCTATCCCAGCTCTGTGAAAAAAGATTGCAATATGTCACATGACAGCAACTTGACACCACTAATTTGACATCTGTGATTTAGCTTATATACATTTTTGCTAAGGGATGGTGCATCCTTCCAAATAAAACAATTATCCTATGTCTATCTACCATTTTTGTTTTCTAGAAATTCCTTTGGAGTAGTGTTCTTGAAAATAAATATAATGTAAAAAGTATAATATTTCAGCTTGCTAGTCTTTTTTTTTCACTAATAAAATGGTGTTTTCCAAGGGCACGTTGGAGCTTATCCCTGGACCATAAAGCTGGTCAAGAAAATTATCGCAGTTCTGTAGCATGAATTCCAATTAAGATCTAAAAACTCCTACACAAAAAGTTAGCTCTGTATCCTTGGGCAAAATGTCCTCAATGAGGTGTCTTGTCTGCCAACTCACTTAGCTTTGGGCTAAAACCACACTTCTGGTTGGGGAGAGTAAGACTGGTGAAGACTGATGATCTGTATCTTTGCTGTTGTCACTGCTTAAACACAAGAGAAGAGGAAAGGGGGAAAATACAATATGGACCCCAAATATTGGAATAGCAGAGAATCTGAATAGCAGAGAATTCCTCTGACAATCCTAAAGAGAAGAATGGCTTTATCCATGTCAACCGAATCTTGTAAGTTAAATGAGAGATTTTGTCCCTATTCAGGCTTATTGTCCAAAATGTTGGGCTATAAGCCTTCAGAGCAAGACTGGTTTTGTTCTTTTTCTTTAGTGAGACTAAAAGTTTTATTTTATGTTCTTTGAAAGTTGTTCATTGTGATTCCGAAAGAGAGATCTTACAGGAATGCTTAATAATATATTTAATTTTCCTGGAAGAAGTGTTTAAACTTTGCCAGAGTAACTTGCTAATTTCCTATTTAGTTATTTTTTTTTTATTAAAAAGCTTATAACGAAGCCTAAAGTTCAAGGTGATATTGCAGAGTTAAGCTAAAACTTGTTCCCCATCAAAACCCTCACAGCCTCCAGGCACCGGGTTAAGACAGTCATGGAATTGATTAATTAATTCACGAAGGCCAGAGATGTATAATTGGCTATCATCAACATACTGATGGACTTTGGTGCATGGTGATCAAGGAGTTCACTCAACCGCTTCATGTATATGTTGAATAGGAGAGGGAAGACTACCAAACTCTGCAGCTTCTCACATAGTATATATACAGTACCAGAATGCAAGTATGCAGATAGTCCTCAACTTATAAATGACTATAGTTAGAAACAGAATTGTTAAGTGAATCACCGCAATTGTTAAGTGAATCAGACAGTCATTAAGCAAATCTGGCTTCCTCCATGGACTTTGTCAAAAGCTGGCTTGAAAGGTTGCGAATGGCAATCACATGACTCCAAGATACTACAATCATCATAAATACATGCCTGTTGTCAAGTGCCCAAATTTTGATCTATTGACCATGGGGATATTACAACAGTCCTAAGTATGGAACTGGGCAAAAGTCACTTTTTCAGAATCGTTGTAACTTAAAACAGTCATTAAGCAAATAGTTTTAAGTCAAGAACTACCTGTATGCTTCTTGATCCCTTGTACTGGATTCTTACTACTGGTGGAAATGATTAAACAAAACTGACAACTCATGGCATCCAAGGAGTTCACCCACTGCTTCATGTGTATGTTGAATAGGAAAGGGGAGAGCACCAAACCCTACATGGTTTCTAGTTAAACAGAATCATACAACATTTTTAAAATGGTTTCTGAGTGTGATTATTTTAATGAGAAATTAGAATCCTTACTATAGTGACATAAGAAAATACCTTGTTAGGAATGTAAGTCACCTAACAGTTGGATTGGAAATATATAAACCAGGATAGACATTTTAATACTGTCTCTTTAAGGGAATGCTAAAAATTGTAATTGGGTGTGGTTCCTCAGACGGCCATAAGATGGAGCCAGTAACCTGGTTTTCCAGAGAGTGTTGCTAGTTGGTCGATGTTCTGATGTTCGCTGTTTTTGGTTCCTGTATTTTCCCTATTGACTGTTGCTGATCGTCGTTATTCTTGGATTGATGTGAGTCTATTACTGAACTGTTTTTGATACTGGACTTTGTTATTGGATTATCCCTGGACTGAAAACTGACTGCTAACCGTGTATGACTTGGACTGTGTTGGACTTTGCTTAACCGTTTACTGGAAGTAAAACCTACATTTTACTATACAGTGTAGCTGTGTGCTGTGTGTGTGTTATTCAACATTACTCTCACTACGTCTCCCTGTGTGCACTCATTCTCCTAACAGGGAATTACCTCAACATACCTGGGCCTGAGCCACCCAACGTTTTGAAACTACAAGAAATATAGAAAGAATATTTTCATATCAAATCTAAAATATTTGATACATAGAATATAATCAGCTATATAGCATGTCTCTTTCTTCTTTTCCTCTTTTTTTAAAAAATAAATATCACAGTAGCAAAATATGCACTTTCCTTCTGTTAACGTGTCACTGTTACATTTCCTTATCGTGCCTTTGAGAAAGGATTGCTTCAGGATATCGGCGTGGTGGAGAAATAGTTTAACGGTTATGATGCTTGTGTCAATTTTCTTTGAATGTTCTAGAATGGCAGTACATATGAGGCACCAGTGGGAAATTAAATGAGTCATACCTATGTGCAGTGGCCTTTTTTTTTTTTTAACAGCATAAATAATTAAATGCTGTTGTGTTCCAAATTTGACCAAAAGTGTTCACAAGAGGACAGTTTTAGAAATCTTATTTAATTCCATCAAGCTTTTTGGTTTGTAGCTACACTACAGTATACTGGAACTTCAAGTGCACATCCATGTACATAGACAAAAATGTGTCTGCACAGAGATAAAACAATACGCAAATAGCAGTACTTTCAAAAAAATCAATTAAAACTGTTACGTTGAGGAGCTTTTCAGTGTTAGTGCTGTTTGAATTTTTTTTTTAAAAAAACTAAGTAATCAAAATATAAACCTCAAAAGAGCTGCTATTGTGAACTGTGTTGTGGTTTGCTATTCTTTGTAATGTAACCCAATCCTAGTAAATGAAAGCTCCTGCTTCTTTAACTTCGTTTCTTGATATATTTCATTTGGACAGTATTAATGCAAATAATATAGCATTGTACACTATTCATAGAATGAAAAGTTAGTTGTATTTCTAAAAAGCATGTGATTTTTTGAGTGGAGAGAAAAATGCATTTTTACAGTTATATGTTTTTATGGCTTGATGCTTTATTGTTGTTATGAGGTGCCTTGAGATGTGTTTTAAGATGGTCTGCCACACAAAATCTTTTAAATAAAGGCAACAAAGAAACATATTTTTAACATTGCTAGTATTGAGTGTGGTGCTAAATTAATCTATTTATAGATTGTCCGGGATAAAACCACTGCAATCTTCCCAGCTACTGTTTTTAGTTTTACAACTTTACATATGATAAAACATAGGAAGAAGCCATTGATATTGAAAATGGACATGTTGTACAGTATTATCTTTTCTCCAAGGCACTAGCGTTTTTTTAATCTAGTGGTTAAGGCAACAGGCAAGAAAAAAGGAGATTGTGAGTTCTAATTTCTCCTTAGATATGAGAATCATGTGAGTGAGAATATCATTGCTCAGATATTTGTTACTCTGTCAAAAATGAAAGAAGTTGGTCTGAAAAGGATGGAAATATGGAATGGAAGTTGATTTCTATCATATTATTCTATGTTTTCGCTCTGTTTATAATTCATTTATAATTACAAAATAATAATAATTAGTAAACAAATTCACTAATTATTTTAGTTGTCCTTAAATCTAATGATACTGTCTTAGAAAGGAATATAAACTAGAAAAGTGAGTTTCTTGATACAGATTAACTGATTGATTAACTGATTTAGCTGAAAAATGTGGCTTTATATATTACATTATCATTGCACTTTGCTCACGTAAGCTCTGGACTTGCCTGTTAACTATGTTGTTGGATCATTGCAAGTTCTGATTCAATGTTTTTCTGGCTCAGTTTTCTACTTTATCTGAAATAAAAATTGAGAATTTTTTCTCTCTACAAGACTGTAATTATAGATACCATATTCTGCTTTTGTATTAACTTCAATCTTGCCACACATGCCTGCAAACTCTTAAATATAAGCAAGGTTTCTTTGGCCTGTGTTGGAACCAAAGTATGCTAGGATAGGATTTTGGGTAAAATCAATAAAACCAATCTTTTTTTAAAAAAAAAAATCTATTTCCAGTCAGTTTAATTATCTTTGACTATTCTGTATCAATGGGCATTGAATTCTTAATCCCAGCTCCCAGTTCTGAGCCCAAGTTAACCATTTGTTCCTCTTTTCAGAGTCACATGCATACACAGATCATGTGATTGTAACTTTAGTTTCCTGCTGGCTTCCCCATTTACTTTGCTTGTAAGAAGCCAGTAGGAAATGTCAGAAATCACAATCGTGTTACCTGGCTCATTGCAACATTGTGATTGCAAGTCAGGCATCAAGTGCCGAATTGCAGTCACATGATCTTGGAAATGCTGTGTCATAAAGGCCCAGGTGTGAAATAAATCAAATCTATGGATTTTGCATTTGTTTTCTGAGTTTAAATAAATCCATGCTGCCTTCTTGTATAAAAAGGCATAGTCAAAAATGGCTTGGCTTATAGTTGTTCTAAATGACTGTTCTCAGCATTTCAAGGCAAGTAGAAGGGAGCTGATTGAGGGTTGACTTCAAACTGGCTTGTGAGGGATTGTGAGGTGGAAGTGGAATGAAAACTCTGTTATATGGAAGACCTCTGGAGATATAAGCTCTGGTAGAATGTAAATGTGGAATTTACATAACAGATATAAGTTCTGGTGGAACATCTTGATTTTTCCTCTAAGCCTCAACTTAACAGCACTTGAATGTTGGCTTTAATTCTAAGATTTGTTTCTACCAGATCCTGAGGAAACATAATATAAGGCAGCCTTTCCTGACCTTTGTTCTCCAGTTGTATTTAGTTATGACTCCCAGTTTCACCAGCAAGTCAGTGATGATACTGTATGAACACGATGCAAAACTGTACAGCGTAGTACATCTGTAAGGTGTTAAGAGTTATTGGTTCTGGATATTGACCCAAGAGTAGTTGTCACTGATTGATTTATATAGTATGGCAGAATGACTGACTAATCATTAATCCTTTGGTGGAGGATTAAGTCAGTATTGAGCTTTAAGACCTTCCTGAGGATAATGGATATTGCTTGCATTACCTTGATGGATATGTTTATATATACAGTAACAAATTCAATGTATGTAATATATTCCTGGAATTTTCCCATTTTTTATGTGATGCCACAGGAGTATATAAACCTACTGGTCTAAACAGATTTCAATTTTTAATTCAAAAAGGTTGGTAGCTTTTTCAAAGGACGGGAGCCAGAATTTCAAGATCTTGAGAAACTTTTAGCATTTTCATTCCAGATCTTCTTCTCCTGAGAATATCAACATCTTATGTAATTTCTCTGTTCTTACAAGACTTCAGCTATTTAAACAGAGACACACACAGCCCACATAAATTTTGGAATGCTGCAGGGGCTATACAGAGATTTTGCACTGTAGATCTAAACAAATTCATAGTTAAGCCCATTGTAATTAAAATCCTATATTAATGTTGTACTTCATTTTGTCTTGTAGCTTGGATCCTCCTCTTCTGTGCCTTTTTCATCTATATTCTCACAGCTGTTCATGACTGTTGTAGTTCCACTCATAATTGGACAGGTAGGTTCATTTCTGGGGTTGTAAAAGAAAACTGTTTTTCACTTAAGAAGATAAGTTTTAAAATTTTAAAAATAAAATTTTAATAACAGAGGTGTTGAGAATGAGCACCTGCTCTTTCCTCAAAACTTAGCTTTTTAGCATCAAAATAAATATTATGTACCTGAAGGTTGGACAAAGTTGTCATCTGATTCAGAAACAGTCATGCTGGTGAAAATGAGGACAGCATCTCTAAGGCACTTCACTTGCTAGAGCTGAAAAGCGAACCAGTAAAAATAGTTCTGCAAACCTTATGTGCTGAAGTGTAAGACTGTGTCCCAAAATTAGTTCTGTTTATTTACAAAAATTAAGCATTTTTGGTTACCCACCCATTCCCAAATTGTGGCCAGTTATGTTTATGTATAAAACAAATAAAATAAAAGCTTTATGCACTCATCTTCCTAATATAAAACTGAAATAGTTGAAGGACATGAGTCCATGGATAAATCCAGATCCCCCGTGTCTTAATAACATCAGCATCTAACCACACCAACAACAAAAAAGTTGTTTTTTACGCTTTGTTCAGAAACTCTATGGGGACATTTGTATTAATCTCATTAGACTTATTCAGAAACACATTTTCTGAAATAAATTAAGGGAGACATATAGTTGGGAGTGATGTTTCCAAGTGAAATAGTGATGAAATAAAACTTGGGTCATTTGGGGTTCCACATTGCTTAACTTTCTTCAATATTATACATCTGAAGCATCCTATACAACCTTATAGATCATGGGTGTCAAACTCAAGGCCTGGGGGCTGGATCCAGCCCACGGGGTACTTAAATCTAGCCTGCGGGACCACCCTGGAAGACCTGGCCAATGGTACTTCTGCCAGTGAAAATTGGCTCCCGAGCTCTGTTTTCAGCTGCCACGGCCTCCTGCATGGTCTCAGGAGCCCATTTTCCCTGGTAGACTACTCGGGCTGCCACAGGAGTCCCTGACATGAGTGATGTTGAGCTGCCCCACCCCACCCCAGGCCCCCCACCCCCACCCCCCCGAGGTCAAACACAACCCTGATGCAGCCCTCAATGAAATCGAGTTTGACATCCTAGTTATAGATTGTCAATATATGTAAGTAAATACATACTTTAGATCAGCAGCCCCCAATCTTTTAGGCATCAGAGGCCAGGTCCATAGAGAAAGACCGGAGGGGGCGTGGTTTTGTGTGTTGCCTGCATCCTGAGATTGGAACTTTGTTTGTTTGCACAACCTAGTCTCTGGCATGCTGCAGCCCAGTGCCAGTCCATGGACCAGGGGTTGGGGACCACTGTTTTAGATCATAGATATATATGTTTTTGTCTTAGTATAGTTTCTTGATTCCTAAATATGAACTAAAATAAATATATGTATGTGGAGGCACATAGAGGCACTTGCATGTGATTTGGGGGGTGAAGAAGATGAACATTTTAAGCATAGTTTCATGTTTTTCAACAATAAAAACAAAATGTCATCAGGTGGCGGATACTCTCTCTTTCTGCTTAAGGGAAGGTAAACTATTCAATAAGTATAGGGAAAAAAGACAGGGGAAAAAAGTTAGCCAAGGATGTTTTTTGATGCTGGATTGCATGGGATCATTTTTTTTTCATTGATTATTTGAATTAATACTATCATCTATCTCTCTATCTCAGTTTCCAAAAGTCTGGAGATAGGGAATCTAGCAGTTGGGCAAATAACTTCAATATTTGTGACTAGGACCTTGCTAGGGCTTTGTAGAGCTCTAATTGAGTCACATCGAAGAGTGAGGTGTGACTCTCCTTTTTTGGCAAGTGATATGAAGTCTTTTGATTTGCAAGGCTAAATTTTAAAAAAAAACCTGACTCTGTAATCTTGGTTGCCCTGTTGGGCACAACATACTGCTTCATGCATGCAAGGCAGCTTATGTTTTTTTGCTCTAAGTCATCTCTCAGTTAGGGGTCTTTGAGAACTTTGAGTTGACAAACGCATAACCACAGGCTGGTCTAACTCTGAAATGGGCCACTATTCACAGGGTAAGATAGCCTTCAATCTCCTACATACTAAGCATTTTCCAACAAACATAGTAAATAAGTAACTGGGTGGCTTATATGATCACACTTGAAATCCAGTAATTCTATAGATATATGTGCAAGATTGATACCTGTATGAAATAACCATTGATGTTATTTGCATACTCTAGTGACCAACTCTTGTCATTTGATCAGTGTATAAAATGTTAAATATTCAATTGTTTAACGGGGTTGGCAATTAAAAATACACATAGTCTACATTGAAATTAGTTAATATTCATGTCTGAAAAGGTGCATACACTCAATGGTTTCATTACAAATTTTATTTGGAAAAAAACAGTAAAATTTAAAAACATATGGAAGATGAATAATAATCTCATGACTGGGATATAGTCCAATTCCCTGTCTGATGAACATGTGTGGAAGGTCCAGTAAAACTTTGAGACCATTTAGCTCAGTAGTACCAATTGCAAGTGGCAACAGTTTTTCTGTGGATTAGGATTGGGAGCTTTTCCAGCTAATCCTGAAGATGCAAAAATTGAATCTGGGAACTTCTGCATACAAATTCTGTCATTTGCCCTTGGGCCCAAATCTCCTTTCATGTGCAAAGGGCCCCATAATTGCCATAACAGTAAAAAAATGAATGGAGGGAGAACTAAACAGGTTACATAATAAAAACTTAATAGAAATCTTCATATAAAAAGTGATCTGCTACAGACTTGACTTGATTTTTATATTATTGCAGAAAAGTATAGACCTGTGTTTTGCGCCCCTGGGGACTATTATTGAAGGTTGTTGTACATGATGTGCCACAGTTTCTCACATTTTATGCCACATATAGCAAAGTATTGTTACCTCAATATGGTGCTGTGATTTGTATTTACCTCTCAACCATATTGGCCTAAACCCATATATCTAGGCAAAAAATGTGGTCTTTTTGTTTGGGTTGTCTCATTTTAGCAGGAAAGTGACAGGCAGCAGGAAAAAAATGAATGTCCTGGTAATATTTCCCTTCTTTTTTCCGCTGTCCTTCTCTCTTTTCTAGGCCTAAGTGCTTCTGACAGACTTTTATTTTATGTTTTATTTTAAAGAGTGATTTATGATTAAAAGTTAATGAAATAGAATTTTCCACAGTGCTTTTATTATATTCCACCAGTTTGAACATTTTTCAAAGGCGCACATTGAAACCCACTGTTCTCTATGAATAAATAATAAAAGCCATGTCTGTACATTATCATTCACGCATTCTCTAGTTGCCCATTGGTAATCTATTTGCCAGTCAGGAATGAGCACTTTATATTAAATTATCCTTAACTAAAACACAAATTAGTTATTACAATTGCACTAATTTAAAATATGAACATATGGTTTTCTGTAATTGAGACCTACTTCATAAGCTTGTTAGATGGTTTTATTCAGTACAAAATTGTCTAAAAGATTCGTGTATGAAGCAAGAAGAACTCAATCACTAGCTTTATATACTAAACCATCATTCGGGACTTGCTAAATAAGCCACAAGACCTGTATTCATACCTCATAATAAATTATAAACTATAGTTTACAAACAAATCAGATTATGGTTTAGTGTAATTTCTGAACCACAAGTAATATAAACATTTTCTATAATGTTCAGTAAGTACATTGTAAAGTGATGGCATGTTGTTTTATGTCTGCTGAAGAAATTTGTAGTTTAACCTCATGTTCTAAAGCTTCTTGGTTGGGTGGGCACCTAAAAAAAAAGCTTTTTTCTGAACCCCAAGTGGATACATTGCATTGTAGATGCTCTGCTGAGCCATTCTGGATGAGTCACAATTGGTAGAATGAATCGTGGAATGCTTTTGTTCTGGGTTTCAGCTGAAACAAAGCTTGTCTGGATGTTGGAGTGATTTCACTCAGTGAATAGAGCAAGACTGTTGCATGATAATCCCTTCAGCAACTCTAATATGTATGCCATCTAATCCTGCTATGTGGACAAACCTTCCAGAGCCTTGCTTTCCCATTCCATAGCATATTCTATAAAGTCCCTCATTTCCATCTTTGCAGCACCTCACCTGTTCCCTGTCCTATGTCTCCCCTCTAGTACTGCTTCTGTCAATGTCCTTGGCTTTTCCTGCCAGCAAGACACTTTGGTACAGATCAGTCATGTTTTGGTCTGTATTCAGAACAAAGCAGACCCATTTTTCCAAAACAAAGAGCATGTTTCAGTTCAGAGGCAACCTCTCCAAAGATGTTTTTATGCACAGAATGTCTGGTACATCAACCATTTTTCACATCTTAGTGTTTTATATTGATGCAATTATTTCTTAAAATGCCCATTAAAGCTATAAGCAGCAATCATATTCTTTTCTGTGCATTGTATGTTCTGTTTCTTGTCTTAACTGTGACGAACAAATAGAGCAGATGAAGCATTATGAAGCAAAGAGGAAAGTTACAGTGAGCACCAAGAAAGCTCTAGAGAAATCAAGGACTGCCCTGTAACCAGGTAAATTCTCTGAGCTGTAACTCCTTTCTTGAGTGAAGGCCATATCATATATTTTCCACCCGTATGAACATATTACATTTGAGATGCAAAGGGCTTCTGTGTGACAAGGAACAATTTCTCAGGTGATGCTGGTTTGAAAGGTACATACCCCACAGGTCCCAATTCAAAGAGCTTAGGAGGTTTGATCTGATGGGATTAAATTTGAATTTATTGCAAGAAACTAGGTAAATTTATAGCCATTTCTGCATCTAGTGCTGTTAATCTCATTGATTCGGCCCCTGGTAAAAGCATTAGGGAATGGCAATAAAAAAGTATTTGTAAAAGATGAGCAGAACAAAATGGACTGTCCTCTTTAGTTAAGAGCTAGTGTGGGATGCAAGTGAGAAAGAATATATAGAAATGAAATAAGAACTAGTGATTTTTCTTTGTTAGAACAGTTCCTCATAGTCTTACTTTAAAATGGGGGAAAGTACTGATGGTAATTTATTAGTAAAAGA